CCTGGCCAGACATTTCCATCAGGTTTTTGGAGTGAAAGAACTAAAATTCATTGGGAAAAAAAAGAAAAAAAACCCAAACACAACACATAAAAGAACAAATTCACTTGTGACAGATTACTTCTCTCTTGGTGGTCATGCAAACAATTGGAAAATAAAGAATACAGGCACTATCATTTGTGTTACCTTATTTTGTGAGATTTACCTTAAATTTACATCACAGTGTCTCTATTAATGTAACTAAACCATAATTCTGTCTGTGGGAAACAAAAACTGTCAATGCACTTATAAAACGTGCCTTACTGCACTTATCTCAGTCAACATTTATTCTGTGAAATGTAATCAGGATGTTAAATGTTTCTGGGAGGTTTGAGATGCCATATTTTGCCATCTGTTCTAATTATTCTTGAATAATTTGGCAGATCTTGCTTTTGTTGCTGAACTACAGAAGCAGATTTCAGCAGTCTGAATTGCTTAAAAAGAAAAAAAAAGATGGTATTTAATTCAAAACTTCAACATTAAAGGGTCACATACCAGTAGGATGCAAGCAGAGGTCCAGAACATCCTGGATGGAGATAAAGCAGAGTTAAGTCTTCACAATTCTCTGTGGGGTGACATAAAAGTGAGGGGAAAATAGCAGACATAGACAGGTGCTGTCATTATATTGTGCAGTATATTCTTCATTTCCCGGCTTATTTTCCTTGAAGAACTCTAAATGGATTTTTTTTAGTTACTTTCCTCTTGATCAGAGTGCTGACACCCTCACCCAGGCCCTCAAAAGGAGGGAATCATTATTGCCCTTTTTTAGATATGAGAAACAAGACAGGAGGCAATAAATGACTTCCCTGAGGTCACAGAGGACATCTGAGGGAAAGCTGAAAGCAGCACCCAGGGCTCTCCAGATCCAAACTGGAATGTCTGGAGTTATCATGGGATCTTTTTGGAGCTGCAAATGGAGATGCACTGTTCTAGGTCATGGACAACCCACTGAAATGTTTGGATACAAAATCCTACTGCATAAAGGCTAAATCGACAATATTGGGGATCCAAACTGGAATGTCTGGAGTTATCATGGGATCTTTTTGGAGCTGCAAATGGAGCTGCACTGTTCTAGGTCATGGACAACCCACTGAAATGTTTGGATACAAAATCCTACTGCAGCATAAAGGCTAAATCGACAATATTGGACTACTGGAAAAATTAAGGAGTAGGATGACCCAATATGAACAGGTATTGAGTAGTGCACAGCAGATTGCCCAATTATTTATTTTAAAGCTAACTCAGTCACTTCAACCTACCTTATCCAAAACCACTCTGTTTTTGAAGGAGAAAAACAGAACAAAACAAAAACAAAGCCCAAAACCCAGCTGGCATTTCAGAGCCATGAGCTCTGATGCAGTTTCTGACACTGCTGGGCACATGACCTTCAGCAGGTCCTTTCCCACCCTGCCTCATTTTCCCATCTGTGAAAGAGGCCAGAAATTCCTCCCTCTGCTGTGAGAACTGATGGATATTTGCACAGCCTTCTGAATGTAACAAAGGCCAAGAAGAGACAAAACATCATCTGAAGGCTGACCATGGCAGGGTTTGTGTTGTGATGACTCCCACGTGTATTAAATTGTATGGAAACAGCAAACAGTGCCTTCAGTAACAGCACCAGTAAGGCTGCACTGGCAGTTTGCATAACATGTACATAAATGTCCTTGATTCAGTGCTTGAATCAGAGACAGCAAGAGTGTACAAGGCTGCTAGGTTTGGTTTTTTTTCTTCAGAGTGTGCCAGTGCTGGTTCATGATCAAATCAGGGCTTTCATCCCCCAGGCTTAGATCAGGCTCAGGTGCAATGCGCTCTGGCTTAGATCTCTGTGCTCAGCCTGCAGTGGTGCTCTTACAGCCAGAGCACTCAGCAAACACAGGCTCCAGGAAGGCTCCCTTGTCATCAGCTGAGGAAAGAATAACACTTCATTATCTTCTGCACAGAGTGAACATGCCCAAGTGACTCAGGAATAGCAGCACTGCTATTTTTGTCACTGGAGCAATGTGTGGTGTGGGCAGGAGGGATGAGGTTCCCTCCCCTCCTGACTCTGCTCTGGCACCACCAGCAGGGTTGGACACCAAATTCCTCCTTGGAATTCCTCCTCCCTCTGCCAGATCACTAGATTATTTCCATTATTTCACTGGGATCAAGACTAACAAAATCCTTTCTGATTTCAAACTTCAAGACAGTTTTTAAATGCAGTATTTTCAAAGACTGCTCTTTATTTGGGGTGTACAATGTAAGGTCTGCCAGGGCCAATGAGTCACTGTTAAAAGCAGAAGTACAGGAGCAGGACATTATTTACATGAGTTTCTGTGACGTATTTCTTTAGGAAAACCAAAATCAGTCTGTGCTAAGACAGACTACTCTCACTCATTGTGATAGCATATAATATAATACTAACTTCTAAATTGCAGTAACTTCTTTCAGCACCATAAAAATACATATACAAACCAGGTATTTCAGTGTATGAGACCACATTCATATGACTTCCGTAATTAAAAAAATTCTGCTAATGTAGGTTTTTTTTCATCCGTGCCAGTCTCAACAAAATGCTAAAAAAACTCCCAACATTTGCTTGCAGTCTTTCACAGAGAAAACGGGGACATTCCTACAATGTTCAATGGAAGCATTTTTAGAAACTTGCTTTTTGTGAAACATTTCAAATGAAAAAATTTGATTTTCTAATCAGCTGTAATGGTAATTGCAGGGCTAAAGCAGAATTCACTCCAGACACAAAGAACATACAGAAACAAGCAGCATTTGGATCAGTCAGTGGATCAAATTCAGAGCTGTGGTGTAAGAAAGAGCTGGTTAATTTTACTGAGAAAGGAAGCAGAAGGTAGCAGGGAGAGAGAGACAAATAAATGAGAATTCAAAAGAACATGGCAGATTGCCAGTAAGAGAGGGAGTATAAATCCAAGTTTACATAAGGGCAAAAAAATGAATGAAGATCAAAAGGAAAAATTTCTCCAAGCTGTATTAAAGATGAGATACTGAAAAGTTTTTCTTGTTTTAACAAAAAAAAATAAAAAAAAAAAAAACCAACAGCAATTTTCCTCTAGGAAGAAAGGGCAAAAAAATGAATGAAGATCAAAAGGAAAAATTTCTCCAAGCTGTATTAAAGATGAGATACTGAAAAGTTTTTCTTGTTTTAACAAAAAAGAACAACAGCAATTTTCCTCTAAGAAGCACAAAACCAACCATTAACAAGACCTGGGGAAAACCAGGAAAAACTTAACATATTTCTTGATCTACAACCCCATAAACCAAAAAATAAAGAATGTATTTAGGATAACTTCACTCCTCTATTCAGGCTTAGTGCTTACTAAGTTGCTTCTGCTAAGCAGAACTGTCACCAAGTCCCTGCTTTAGAGATGACCAGAAAAACCAAATACATCTCCTGTGCAAGTGGGCCTAACCCTCACTATCTTCAGTTCAAATGACACAGCTATGATACAATAAGAAATACAACTTACAGAAGAATCATGGGCTTGAGCTGGCGGCTGGGGAGGTGGCTGCAGTGTCTGGGTCTTTTCCTGAGCCCCATGGAGGTCTCAGGGTGGGGGATTTCACCTTCAGCCCACAGCTGACAAATGACATTTGGCTCCTCTTCAGTCTGTGTTCTCTTGAAGCATCCTCTCCCCCACGCCCAACAGCCATTGAGCATGTTCACTTTGCCAGCCAGATCTGGATTTGATACTTTGAAAAATGGTGACATTTCCTGCCAAGTGTGCCAATTCCTGTTCCCATCAAGTGCCAATGCAGCTCAGGTTCCATCATCCCTTTCTACTCAGAGGTTAGGATGACACAACGTTTTTTGTTTTGCTCTCCATCCATCTCAGTAAGGAAATATTAGCAGCAAGATTGTTCCTTTGAGGTTAGAAGTCTATAGAGAGCAGTCCTGTATCCTGCAGAGCAGTCAGGACATAACTTCAAACACAAATACCATCTGTCTCTGAAATATCTCCTTAACATGAAGTCACCAACGTTCAAATACCTTAAAAGAGTTTTATGTTTAGCAACTTGAAACTCAAGCCGTCTTTAACTAAAAATATTCTATCTAGTCTTCATATACCAGTCATTGGGGAAAACTCAGCTGTGCATCCCTCTCTTTCTAAACAAGCAGCACTACATCAATTGAATTTTCATCTCAAAGATGTTTGAAGACAAAATAGCATCAAGAAAATACTACAACACGACATGGAAATTGATAAAAACTATTACATCATTACTTAAAATATGCCTACAGAGAAAGACTGAAAATCTCTAGCCTTGACTGTGGAATAAACCCCAAGTAGGTCAATTTTTGTCTTTCAGATTCCAAGAATTATATGGCTGGAAAATTGTATCTAATAAAATGTATAACTCAGCTAATTAATATCATTGCTCATAAATTCTCACAGAACTCACCCAGCAATCACAGTAAGTGCTGTAAGTGTAGGGTGAACAGTCTTTCTATAAATCCATATCTGCCAAAGTGGGTTAAAATACATTTAAGTGAAAATTTTAACTGTGGAACTATTGCATCGTTTATATTAACACATGTAAAAAGTGTATTCCCAGAAGAACACTCTCACATTGCCTCATCACAGACTGTAAAGTTCTGTGCTGTGTTTATTTGCAGGAGGAAAACACAAAATGCCAACAGGAAATCCCATATCCAAGGGAGAAAAAAATGCATATTTAGCAGAGGAATTCTGCATCCTCAAATTACAGCTGAACCACTATGATACATTCTTCAAGAATCTAGTTTTTTCAAGGAGCTGAACATAAAATACTCAAATAGAATATTGGAAGTCCTGAGACTGCTCAAATTGTGTAGCACAGAAGATTGTGAACACTTGCTGCTGACATTGTACCAAGCACACAGCCATGAAAGCTGAAATTAAACATGTCTCGGCCTGCTCAGATTAGCTATTTATTTATTTTTATTTTTTATGGTTTATATTTGAAGCCCTGTTTGAAATGGAGCTTGAGAAAGGATGCCTTTGTACAACCTTCAATAAAGAAATATCCACATCAGAGACAAAATTGTAATTGAGCTCCTTTCTAGTAATCTATACAAAGAGGCAGAGGTCTAAAGGAAAACACAGATCAAATGTCTTAGAAGTGGAAAATAACTACAGACAAAAAGAAAATCAAAAGAGACTACAAAGTTAGGTGAGCATAGAAGTGTAATAAAATCTGCTATGAATATATGGTTTATGAATAAAATAATGATTTATTAGAGCTTGAGTACTTTGGGTTTTTTTAAATAAGATTACATTGTGGTTTTCTAGGTCATCCACACTTTCCTAATGTCAGGCTCTGGATGTTAAATGGATTCAAATATTAACTACCACACACAGCAGAAAAGTTCTCAAGTTTTTTTCTGTTTTGAACAACATCCCAAGAAGAAGGGTTCTTAAATACATCCCCATTTTACTGATCAGGTTTGGAGATAGAGTGCCTTGACATTTCTGTGGAAAGCAGGAAAAAATTAGATTTAATATGTAGTTGAGTACATTATAATAAGGAAAACAAAAATACCCAGCTCCAGGAGACACATTAATCTGATCCCACACTCCATCACCACTAAGCAGAAGTGCTATCAAGTCCCTGCTTTAGAGATGACCAGAAAAACCTTCTCCTTGTCCAGATCAACCTGCAAACCCAGTGTGAGCCTTGCAGCTGAACCAGGCATGAAAAACTATATGGGGACAAATTTTGGTGGGAACTGAACTCATTTAAAGACGTGAGTTAGCTTAGCATGAGCATTTAATTCTGGGAAGGGTGCAGACAGGAGGCAAGGCCTCAGTGTCTGTCCCTACACTCGGATGAGCTGGTGACACAGCAGAAATAGAGTGAACGAGAGTGGTAGCCAATGGAACAATGGGTGGGAGCTTCCCCAGGCAAGCCTGAGCACCTCTGTGTCAGATTTATGTTCTCCAGAGGGCTGTAGCAAACACCAGGGCCCACAGCCAGCTCTTACTCCCACTAATGACATTTTTAGAAGGTGAAGACCTCATTGAATCCATTGCTGTTGACCCACAGGGCTCCATCTTCTCTGTGCTGCTCAGTGAATTAGGCAGGCAAGTGCTATTAATGAGAGCAGGAGATGTGTATATCCAGTTTCTGACTCTCAGGGTTGCTAGCACACCCCATAATTTGAGAGAATTATGTCTTAAAGGCTATGCTATGACAGGGAAATCACTCGTGATGAAACAATGCTTGAGTGGTGGAAAAAGCTTTGTTCTGATGTTGAATGGATTCTTCTAACAGGGACTTTCAAGCAAAGTTTTGGGTGAAAATCTCACACTTGGAAATGCCTAATTTAAAATAAGATCTTATGTCTCAGCTGCTCTGGAATACAGAAATTAGGAGACCCATTCCTGTGAAGTGCCTGTGTCAATTCTTTTTGTCTGGAATGTGCTGCCCTAGTTAATAAAAAAGCCCCAAAACCTAAGACATGGACATTTGGGTTTTTTAAGTGATTATAATGATTAAGAGTGGGATTCCTGTGCTGCTTTTTGCAAGAAGAGGTGGGTACCCATAAAAATCCAAGTGACCTACCACCAATGCCATTATTTTAACTGACATCTGTGAGCATATTTTCTTAGGTTGCATCAAGACAGATGAGGGCCCTTTGTGCCCTTCTGACAGTGATGGCAATCATTAAAGATTTACCAGGGTCATTAAAGTGAGAAATAGCAGCAATGCAGAGCTGGATATCACCATCCCATGGTGATTCCACTGAAGTGCAAAGAAAGCCAGCACAGAATAAGCCGAGATCTTACACTGCCACCTTAACCTCATTTTACAGATATAAAAAAAAAAAGAAGGGGGAAAAAATTCACCAGTTTATCTAAAACACATGAGAGAAGTACATTTCACTTGTAGGGGGGCATTGCCAGTAAAGGGCACAACATTTCCCTCCCTGACAAAGCACTTGGCAGCCCAGCCAAGCTTGGGGACTCTTCCACAGCTCCTGCCTTCCTCTCACTGTTCTTTCCTCTGAGCACAAACCAGATTTTTGCTGTTCATTATTGGCTGTTCAAATCCAGGGCTGAAGCAACATCCCACCATACCTTTGAAATTTAGTCCTTATGAAGGCACTGGGGCTATTTTTAGCAGAGATCAAAAGAATGCAAAGAAACAAACAGCTGCAGATTTAATCAGCTTTAACATGTTTAACTACTAGCCTGATGACTCAGAAGGCACACACCTTGCCAGAGCATCTATATGTAAATTGTTCTAAGGTAAAAAAAGAAGGAAAATTTCTAAAATCATTATCGCACATGTGTTCCATTATTATAATACCTTGTGAACTGACACCACAAAAATTGCTGGGAAAAAAAAAAAAGGTACATGGGGCTTCTAACCTTGCTTTGATTCTGCTGTTCATTCTATCAAATGAAACAGGAAAGCGATCTCCTACGGAAATCAGTCACTGCTCTTGTTTTAATCCCCCCGCTTTGATTTCCCGAGCAGCCCAGATTAAAGATAGACCTTTCTCCTGGGTGTGATGTGGGCAGAGCAGGCAGCACAAAGCCCTTTGTCTGCCAGGGCTGTGCTGAGCAGCCAGCCCTCATCCCAGGGACAGTGCCAGGCTGCTCTGTGCTGCTGGAAAATCGTTGCCTGTCAGTCACCTGAAGAATGAAATAATTCACAGCACTGGGCAGGGGGTAAAAATAAACACCGTGGAGATCACTCTGGGTGTGCAAACACATGCTCGTGCACACCCACATTTGTGAAAAAAAGGAATAATACACACCAGCTCTGAAAGCTCCACTTGAGCCAGTTCCATGCGAGCACTCTCCTGCATTATGGATGTTGGGTTTGCTGAAGCTGTGGCACTCTGGAGCTCAAAGTCCCTTTCAAGATCACTTTTGCCAGTCATGCGTATCCCAGTGCAAACAAAAAAACCAAACCCAAACACTTCACGCTCCTATCTCCTCACACCTGATACATTGGTCCTTCAGAGTCAGACTTAATTATCACATGATGCACAAGGCTGAACATGTTTTAAACATCTGTTTGACATGCTGCAATCAATCACAGTGCAGCTGATAGTGCTGATAGCTGGTGCACAGTGGCAGTGCCCCCCCAGCTCGTGCAGCGCTGAGATAAATGCCTTCCCCAGGTCACTGGAGGCACTCACTTCACCTCCTGCCTCATGAACCTTCCAAGGAGCGTGTTATCTCGGGGTAACACATGTCTGCTGCTACCTGGCTCTTTAATTACTGTACACAAAATTCCAAATCAGAGTAATTGGCATCTCAAGGCACCGCCGTGCGCTGCGGGGTCCCCCCAATGTAAGTGAGCGACTGATGCAGCAAACAGAACGACCTTGATAGAGATTTCTCCCCAAAACTGATGGCATCTCAGGACTTTAATGCACAACCTGATGAAGAAAACAATATAAATATTGTAATCACATTTTGAGCTCAAAAGTTCACAATGGTTTGCAGTTTGTTTTTAATATGCAGTTTTTTCTGTACAGAAGTCACACTAATACAATAAATACATAATTGGGATCTCTCAAAATACTTTCTTTAGGTTATTTCTTAGCCACAGTTCATGTCTCAATCATTCCTATAGGTAGCTTTGCACTTTATATAAAAAAATACACACATTCACACTAACCTGAGGTAGGGGAGACACAGTCTTGAGTCTCCAGTTGAACCAGCCAACACAAGTTTGCACCTGAATATCTGCTCTCTGGGGTTCGAACATCTAAAACACCCAGCATCTGCTAGAGACACCCAGCTGCTTGTACTTTTCTTTTAGGAGAAACCTGGTCTTGGAGTTGAGATGTGTTTCCTCCTAACCAAACTCATTCTGACAAGCAATAAGATCCCTGATCAGTTACTCTTATCTATCACTCCAAAAAGAATTAAGGAGCAATCACCTCATTATCCATGTGCTTCCAAGTAGCTCAGAAAAAAAATTCAGTAACTGTAACCCAGTCATATCAGATTTTCACTGATTGTTTTAACACTCAAATATTGGGAAATATCCAGACACAATTATTTCCTATAAATCAGGAACTTTGTGAGCAAATGACGAACTTTACAGAAGCAGAAGGCTTCATATAATCTCTGTGATGTTCTGAACTATGGCTGCACCACCAGTTCTATTCTGACCTTGAGAGCAATTGGTCCTGACTTGTCCTGGGATGAAAATCCATCACTTGAATTGCTTGATATTTGGGATGGCAATCCATTATCCAGGCTGCTTGATACACTGCACACCAGACAATATCTTATTATAGCTCCCTTAAGGAAGATATAGAATAAAAAAATGTAAAAACATTAAATAAATAATGATTAAAAATTCTTAAAAAATATATTGAGCCTACAGAATACAGGTGACTCAGTGCAGTCCCCAAGCCAAGAGCAGGTTCATAACCTAACTTCATCATGAGAGATGTGTGTGTGCTTGATACACTGCACACCAGACAATATCTTACTATAGCTCACTAAAGGCAGATATGGAATAAAAAAATGTAAAAACATTAAATAAATAATGATTTAAAAAAAATTTTAAAAATATATTGAGCCTACAGAATAAAGGTGACTTAGTGCAGTCCCCAAGCCAAGGGCAGGTTCATAACCTAACCCCATCCTGAGAGATGTGTGTACAACCCATTCTTTTATATAATCAAAACTGCCTTAGCATAAATGAGGAGCCAAGAAAAAGTAACACTTTTTTTCTTTTTTTTCCTAGAATCATGTTATCTTCTAGAGGCACATGACCCCTTCAAATCAATTATTTATTAATACATGCCACTGGAATTCTGATTTTGTTCCTACTTGGGACAGAGTCTTTCAAGACATCTAAATCAATCAGGACTTCTCTGAAAGTTGCTCTTCTCTTTAATCCTTCCCTTTTCTGTTCTTGATATCTCCATATGTAATTGAAACTCATTTATGAAGATACCCAGTCCTATAAATTGGAATTTATTTCGTCTCTTTTCTTGTGCAAACCAATGTTTCTGAGCTCCTCATATCTATGCTGAAGGCATTTTAGGGGTTTTCCTTTGGCCTACAGTCTGCCTGCCTGAACATCCCCACTGTTCCCATGGCTTTGAGATGGTTTAAAAAGACAATTACACTAATTTTTAATTTCTGGGGAACAGTTAATTTCCTCTTTAAAGGAAGGTAGTTATAATAAAGAGGCTGTTTGTAGGAGCACACTCACACACAAAAATCAGCCAACCCAACCCAACCAACCCCAAACATACAAACCAAAAGCCATCAAACCCACATCCTTTTCTCTCTTGGATGGATATTTTTCAGCTCTAAAAGGTGTTGCCACAACTCTTGCCCACCTGTGATTTTTCAGTGTCACTTTCCATTATGATCCTTCTCAGCTGCAAGAAAGGAGAAGAATTATGAGCTCTTTCACAAAGGATTTAGCTTTATTTTACTCAGGATGAGAAATTAAGGATGCCCTGACTGACAGCATGTGGTTTCTATTTCTGTTTATAAGCAGCCTTACAATAGTAGGGTCAAAAGGATTAGAGGAAGGTCAGTGTTACTGTTTCTAGAGGAAACCAGAAATTGTAGGTTTCCTTCAATATTCTTGCTTTCCAAAGAAAGTGGAAATCTTTATATGACAGGGTTTTTCAAACACCTGGTCCTATTCACTTTTCCTTTAGTAACTGAAGTAAAGGAGACAGTTGTGGGATTATTTACTTTTTTTTTCCACTTTCATCTACTACAAAATAAGCATTGTACACAGAGCAAAAAAAGTTAATTTGCTGTCTGATATAGACCCTGGATTTTTTTCTAACTACAAAGGACAGAAACAATAATATCAGTACAACACACACACTATTTAAGGCATGGAGAAGCTATAATATCTCTGAGCAACATCACAAATATCACAAAAGAACTAAAAGTTCTCTGCAGTTCAGTGTTTCCATTTTCCAGCCTCTCACAACAGCCTGATCTTTATGTTCAGCAGCACCATAGGTGGAAAAAACTGCTCAATTCATGTGGTTTTACATCAGTTATTGATTTATTGATGACTTGCAAATAACTGCCAATATTTTATCTGTCTATGCACATCAATTCCCACAACGGAGCAGGTGAAGCCAGTATTTTGGGTAATTGAGAAATGTTAATTTGTGCTCACAAATATCCAGGCTTCACGCTGCTCTGTCATTTCTTTTCAAGCTGAGGCCTTTTTCCAAAGTTTCCCTGCAATTCCCTGGATTTTGTTTAATTCAGCTGATGGTTGACTCCCTGTTTAGCATGATGGGTGTTTGATGTGAGTGGGGAAACTGCATCCTCTACACAGCAGAGCAAATGGGGCCCATTTGAATTTTCTGAATTGCACAGCTCACTCTATTAGAAGTTATTTCTCCTTCCAGAAAAAAAAAAAAAATACTGCAATGCTCCAGTTGCTTTTAATGGTTGAAAAATCACATTCCCCTGAGTGAGAAGATAAGCTGAGAGGATTTTTAATTAAAGCTCACTCTTCCTCATCTTTATCCCAAAAGTCTGTTTCATGCTACAAGCCAATCATTCCCCGACACTCCAGATGTCTTGCAAGCTACCTGGGTGCTCTCTTTCATAAAAAACAAGGTTGCACATCCCAGACACCTCCTGAATTCAACTAAACAAATACATTTGTGCCAAAGTGACATTGTTGCTCTGCTGAATGGAATGGATGCAGCTCATTTCAGAGTCATCCAGCCAAAGAACTGCTCCAGCAGGAACATTCCAGCCGGGAAGGACTGAAGTCAGGGGAGCCTCCCGAGATGCCAAGCAGCAAAAATGCTTCCAGCAGGCTCCAAAATATCAGGCACACATCCTCTAGTTCTTGGCACTGGAATGATTTGACCCTGAAAGTGCAGATTTGCAGAAGGAAGGGGTGTGATGATAGAGAAATTCCAGGGAAATCAAAGAGAATGATGAGGGGGAATGGACTTTTCATGGATACATCACAGCAATTCAAACCTCCTGAAGAATCAGTGCTTGTCCAGGGACCTCACTGGAGTTGTTCAAGGCATGGAATTTACTCCAAAGGGCAGGATTATCACTGACCAGAACTAAACCAGAGTTAACAACTGGCAGGTTGAAACCAGTGCCAAAGAATTAATCCAATACTGACCCAACCTCAAAATTCTACTTCCAAAGGCAGAAGTGCTTTGCTCCTCAGTGAAAACTGCACTTTTTTTGTTCAAATTCCATGGATGGATTAATTTGGCTGTGCTCACAGCTGTAGAAACAACAACAAAAAGTGAGTAAATGCCTTCAGAAAATCTAGAAACTCATTGTTGCCTTTGATGGCAGTGTGTGGTATGGAAATAACCTACTTATATAGGTTTTCTACATGAAAATAACTGAGGAAGCAAAAAGGGCATAAAAAGAACCAGCTAAAGGCTAGACAAAGTAGGTGTGTACTTAAGCAGAATACTTAAATATGGTGAACTGAGCTCTTTTTCTTTGCCTTTTCCTCAGTCTGGGTTTATATCATGGGCTTTTTGGAGGTGAGGGAAGTACCAAGGCATCGGGAACACAATTTTCATTGCTTTTCTCCCTCTTCCATTTTTAACCTATGTTTTGTTTAGATAATCGGTTGTTTAGACAATGTTTTGCTAAAATTGGCTGGGGTTTTTAATTATTATTTTTACCACAACCTTGTTTATGCTGCAATTTTCATGATTTTGCCCTGAACTCCTTTGATTACTCATCATATTTTTACCATTTCCATTTGCAGCACTGTTATCTTTTGATCTTCTGCTGTTTGCCCATATGTTTAAAGTTTTCCAAACTAATTAAGACAATTAACTAAAAAAGACTAATTGCATTCATAAATGAGACATGGCATTTCTGATTAGCAGGTGGCTCCTTTCTGGTTTGGATACATAAAAGCAGATGGAAATGTGGCAGACTTAGTTATATTTAATGTGCCCACTTCCTTCCAGACTGCTCCTCTTTCCAGCTAATGACAATAAACCTATAAAATCTTCAGATTACTCTTTTTTTTTTTTTGTTTTCTGCTTTTGCCATTTCTCATTCGAAATCCTGGCCATTCTTGACTAAGAGTTTTCAAACTGTATTTTAAAATCCTTTGTAATTTCTATTTACAGTCTTTAAGGTGACTGGAAAAATAAGAGGATCAGAAATACTCAAAAATAAGAAATCTGCTCCTAAATTTGATGTGGAATCAATGGTATAAATAATTTTTAGTGATATTTTTAAAGAAAAGATGCTTAAAAAGACAGCTTCTGTTCTTATTTTTTGCTATATTTCCATATAAAAGCAGACGTTTATCACTGCTGTTCCTATAGCCAAGATTTTTTAAATTATTTTCACCAGTGCTCCAAAATCACTTTTCATAATGCATAATGAATTCTTAACCAAAAGCATTGAGGATATAAAGAAGCAATTTCTTTGTTGCCCTGACAATCCATGACAATTTTAGCATTACACAAGTGAAAAAAATAACATTACAACCACATGACAGTGTGGGAAATTACCAGTTATAGATGCCTCAGGAACATTGGTAACTTATAAATTTTATATCTAAAATAAATACACTGCCTTGAAGTTCAGGAAAACAGCTCCACAGTTTAAGTGTGCCTGGAGAAAAGAAGTTCAACATGAATCCAACTCTGACCATTCACAATTTTCGTGCTTATTGTATAAAACTCTTTTCTATACAAATTTATGAGAATAGCTCTGCAAAAGATTATCTGGGATTTATTCAAGCAAATTTTGTTTCTATTAGCACAAATTATCTATTCAACACTAACTTTTTGGTGCAGCACTTTTAAGTGGAGGTATTTCAGAGCAAGTGAGAGGAGCAGAAGAAATGTAAAATCTGACCATAGAGACTGAATTACGTTGAAGCAAAAAACCTGAAGTTCTTCCCTACCAAATTCTTGTGCTGTGATTTTCTGCAATGCACAATTTTAATGTAAAAATATAAGACAGCAGTGAAAATTTTGAATTATCTGGTGCCTAGGAGCTTTACATTTTGTTATAACATGCAACCAAAAGCTGGTTACAGGGTAATACAGACAGAATGGGACACAGCATCTGTTGTTTAGAGTGATGTGAAAAAAGAAAGAAAAAAATCAGCTGATAAACATGACAGGGTGCTGATGGTCCAGATTTTCACCTGTATCCAAGAGCAAGAAGGATTCCCCTCCTTGACTCTGGGTCCCTTTTACCTCAGTTCTCCTCCACTCAGAGACACCCAGCAAATAATAGGGCTGAAATGCAAACATGTGCAGCTTTTCAGACAGCAGTAATGAGAACATGTCGTAAGTCTCAACCACAAATTAAAAGGACTGCCACCGCCCTCAAATCAGAAAAATGTCACACCAAGGGATTTCCTGAATTCAGAGCTTTTACTATATCCAGTAAATTGTTGTGAATCACAATATGCTAGGATTCTAAAATAACTTCAGACTGCCTTGCCTTTAATTCTTATTCAAGATATCTGTCTTCAGCAAAAAGTTGAGATGCATAAGGACTTGAGGATTTCATGAGTGCAGCTCCATAAAAATACCAATTTGCTGTTCAATAAACAAAACCTGAAAGTTATGCTGGCCAATAAATCTGAGTAAGTGCTCTTAGTGCAGATGCTATTGAGCAGCAGCATCCTGCATCAGCTGTTTTGAGCCCTGCTGTAGGGAGCAGGATGACTCAGGGTGTGGGTAATGGGAAGCAGAGCCTTTCACCCCCGGGTCAATAGTTATAATCTGAAATACACCAGGAGTCAATGCCATGGCAGCCCCCTCTGCTGCCTGCAGCCAAATCAGACCCTGGCCTGCAGGCAATTCCTGCACAAGAAGCACTGGAGGCACAGCAGGAAGCCCTGGCACTGATATCTGGCACCAGCAAAAGAGCTGGAAAGCCAAGACATTCCCTGGGGAAATATGTATTGCTTTTAAAATAAGTAAGAAGTGTTTCAGTAAAGAATTTTAGGGAAAATGGTTTGCAGCAACTTTTCATCTTTCTATGGTGTTGGCAAATTTTGTGGGCTTGAAGCTACTTGGGATTTAAAGCATTCACCAGTCACACAGAATATCAGACAATGCAAATTTTGTGTCCCGTAAATCCTGGGCAGAATTCACAACCTACACACATGGATACACTTTGTGATGTGCCCTCTGTAACTACACACAACCCTCAGCTGCTCTGACATAGCTCAAACCTGCAGAGAGATGTGTGTCACCATCACAAGGACAGGCATTCTGTCTTATTTTCAGATCTCTTTACAGTTTTTTGAGAGTTTCCAGGGATTTGCCCCATGTTCTGATCTCTGTGTATCATTGTGCAGCCTCAACCTGTTGCTCCATCACATCCACCTCTACACCCAAAGCAGCAAAGTGAACTGCACAGCCTTTGCAGATTTGAAATCCCAAAATACTGAACATCACTGTTCATGCATTTCTCCATTTCCACTATGGAGAGGCTAACAATGAATAATTATCAAAAATAGGAAGGGAAAAGGGAATACTTCAGTCATTCTGTATGGATCTGAAGCATGTTTAACTTCACCCTCACCAGGAATGTCAGAGAAAAAGACATCAGGATCACTTTTATCTGGGACACATAGTACTAATGGGCAGCAGATCTTTTCTGGAAAGAGGATCTGGATTAATTTATTCTGGTGTTATTGGTAAATTCCAAGAAGAAGCACTGGGAGTCCTGTTAATCTTTAATTGTGATGACACTGACAAATCTATAAACCTGAAAAATACTCCAGTGTCTCAGCTCATCATGCAAAATGTTTTAATCGCCAGAGGAAACGTATCAGATTATCAGTAACTTCCCTACAATCAGCTGGATGGACTTTTATTATTACACTCAACACTGCTCTGAATGAGCCAATATGATTTCTTTAGATGTTCTGTAACTTCTAAATTTATAAAAGTTCAGATATGTTAAGCAGGAATCATGAATTTTTAAGATAACTTCTTTTCCTTTCATAAAACCTACAATGTTTACCTTGATTACCAAATGACAAAGCTCAGCTAACAGAAATTAAGCATGTTGGTCCCCTCTAAACTTCACAGCATTTTAATTTTTGAGTGCTCTTTTAAAGCAAGGAATAACCACTGTTAATATTTTTCTTCATGTCTGTGGAAGTTTTTTTCACTCCTCAGTTGTGACTCATTTCTTGTGAATTATTCATATGAGTAAAATGTATGGAAATGTTTTTGTTAAGTGGAGATTAAGCTTTGATTATCTTTTCTTCACCCACTCTTTGAATGTAAAAATATTCTTTTGGTGATGAAAAATAAAGTACATTTCTTAATTTTCAATATTTTCTCCTAGTTTATGCTAATATCTACAAAGACTGGCAAGTTCTGTACCTAGAAATAGTTTTAACTAGAACAGCAAGAAAATTAATTTTTTGGTTGACTAGTTGGATTTTTTTTTTAAATTCCCTTTAAAAGGAAACTTAAATAAGAGAAGAGTATTATTCCAAATTGAAAAACATTTTTAAAAAATCTTAGGTGGGTTTCCTCTCCCCATCCCCACCATTCATTTTGGAGTGGTCAAAAATACATAAGAAAAAAAAAATCCTTTGAAACCGATGTGATATCAGCCAGTGCCAGTCAGCTGAAGGGGCATTTGTCTTTCTCAAGTCTCTCTGGAGATTTTTGGTGTGGGCAGATTTACGAGGTCAGCAGCAGGATTTTGGCACCTGTTTTCCCACCAGTTTTTTAATCAGAGCAGAGCATCCAAATCCTCTTTGGACAGCTTTCAAAACAGCAGCTCCAGCTTCTCCACTAAGCTTTTTGGGGGGACAGCAAGGTGGCCAATTCCAGTGCTTAGGGCCATGAGGAGCTCTCCAGGGTGGGACAAGCAGAGGGGGAGAGGCACATGGGAATTAGGAATGGGAATTAGGGAATACCCAGATGGGAATTAGGAATACCCGTGCTGGCAGCAAGCTCTTGGTAGGCAAAACAAACTCACATACATCCCCTCCAAAACCTCCTCCCAGCCCTGAATCATGTTTCTACCCTCTGGAACTGCCCCTCTCTTCCCATGGCATTTCCTTAGGTCATCCCTCTAACCCCATCCCTCTCTTCTCTATTTTATTTTAAGTTTCAATAGGTTCATATAAAGGAAAGTGATGCCCTGCTACTTAATGTGTTCCTTTTTCTGAATTTGTGTGTTAATGTTGAATCTTTTGCTGTTGTACACGCACCTTAAACTTCAAGTGCCTTCTCCTGAAGCTGTCATGCAAACAACTGCATATTTTAGGTAGCTGAGATCATACCAAACCGGGTTTCCAAATTTGACTTCAATCTGGCCAAGAGGTGAGCTGAGTTTCCCCCACCAGGATTGCTGCTTCCTCAGCCTGCCAGCCTATTCCCTGGCCTGTGACAACATAGGGAAGGGAAAAGGAGCAGAAAAGAGGAAATCAGAGAGGGATCTGTCCCTCTCCCACAACCAATACATCCTTGCTGAGTGGAGGGACATAATTTCCCAGCACAAAAATATTTCTCACATGTATTTGCCTAAACCAAATTATCAGCTGCTTTTTGGGCTGTTGGGTTGTTTTTTTTTTTAAGCAGTCCCTTTTGCTATTCATAATCCCCATGAAGATAATTCATGGCATTTTTTGTCCAGCTTTTTCAGCCTGTGGAGCAGAGCTGGCTGAACTCCTCGCAGAGAGCGCTGGATTAAATGCAGGTAAGGGTTAGAAATGGTGAGCTGTAATTTACTGGCAGCAGCAGGGGGGAGACAGAGGGCATGGTGTGGTTTTCAAGGCATGAATTAGAGTTCTCTGGTGAAATGAGGGTGCTTTGAGCTGATTAAATTATAAAAAAATGTGCACCTGGGCTGCATAAAAATCTGATGCCCTGTCCCTGGAGTTTGGCTGATAATAGAAGTGATGCACGTCATCATTTCTGCATCATCTGAAAGTTTAATATGTGTAATTGTGAGCTGCTTTTCTCCTCTGAAATTGCAAACACAGCAAAATTGCAGGCTTGGTGCCACTGATGAGTCACTGTTGGCCTGCTGGATCTGTGTTACAATGGCCATACACAAAGAGAAGCATGACACCCCAGTTTACCATCATTATCTGTTTCCTTTGCAGTTGTTTCCACAGCTGAGCAGCTCAGACACAGCCTGGGTCAAGTAGCAAGGGGAGGAGGAGGAGTTGAAATGGTAGCTTTTAAGGGAGATGAGTTAGGTATGATCTCAGCCATCTAAAATTCACAGCTATTTGCATGGCAGCTGCAGGAAAAGGCCCTTACAAATGTATATGGTACATGTGCAACAGCAAAAAATCCAACATTCATAGAGAAATGCAGAAAAATGAACACTTTCAGTAGTAGGGCAGCATTGTCCTCTGTATGTACCTCTTGAAATTTAGTATATAATATACAAGAGAATTTAGCCCCTTTTGCTAAGATGGCAGCTTACCTTAATATCTTTAATATATCCATTGAAAAAAGTCAGCAGTTCAGTTGTTGTAGCACTCCATTGCCAAAGATTTCTTCTTTAATCTTGTTTTCCTCACAGCTCCAGAAGTCTGGAATGTAAATGTAGACACATCCTTTTCAGACCCTCCAAATCTGAATTTTAAAACTCCAAATGTTCTAAACTGGAGGTTAAGAGCACTTAGTTGAAACAAGTAAGTTACCAAAAGAATGTATTCTTTCCTTAGAATTAAAGTGGGGGGAGATGAAAAGAAACATCCCTACATACTAGATCAGAGTAATATTCATATTTTTAACATTATAAAAGAGAAATATTTGGGAAAAAAACAGCCTATGAAACGATAATCTGCAGTGTATAATATACACTTGCATAAAAAGGTCAAACTTGGTGAGCACCATCAACTTGGAGGGAATGAATCAGGCTCATACCCACTCTTTAATCTTGGAAAAACACATTCCTCCAAATCCAAGCCCTGTGGTAACCATCACACAGCCTCCCTGGGACTCACAGCAAGGGCTGCATTGGGTTCATTGACTATTCAGCCCCTGCACACGCTCAGGGAAGTGTTATTCACAAGTTGTTGGGCACTGAAATATCACCTGGATACATTTGGCATCTCTAGTGCAAAGAGGAGATATCAGGAAAATGCATAATAGCAGACAAATTTTTATATATTTATTTTGTCTGACAATGGGCAGCCACCGTTACTGGCTTCACAAAGGAAAAGGGAAAACAGGCACAGATTTTGTTCTCAATTTTGCTGATGTAACAGCAAACCCTCTTTTGTTAAAAGCAGAAATTTTGTTCTCTAATGTATGAAACCTTCAAGGTGGGGAATTTATTTTAACACAGCTTCATCCAAATTAGAAAAGGAATCCAACCTATGGTAAAGCCCCCCTGGTACTGAGGCTTACCATAATTTCTTCTCCAAATAAAACTGAAAGCCATTATTTTCTCCATGAGATGAAGTAAAAATAAGGAAATCTGAGAACCTGTACAAGTTAGATTTAAGGTACAACCAATAGCAGCTCTTATGCTGTAAACACTCATCATTTGTTTTTTCAGTTATTGATACAAAGGGAGAAGTCCAGTTTAGAGTAAGCAGGTAGAAAATCCCATGGAAATCCCTGGACAAGTGCTCTGACTAGAGAGAAACTAATTGTATATTGCATTCTTTTTCTTCAGACTACAGAACCAACTGAGAGACAACGTATTAGTGTTGGAGTCAGGCTTTTTTTTTTTTTTCCCTGAACTGGACAGACAGGTTTTATTAAATCAATGTTTATGAATAAGAGCCAGTTAAATTTTAAAATTATTTCAGGCAGAGGACACGTCCATGATCTGGAATAAGAAACTGAGGCCTGGCAATATATGGTTGTGGCATAAACAAAGAAAAAAGTCTTAATGTCACTCAGTAAATAAACATTTTCACTCATCCCTAACAGTGACAGCAGTCTGGACAAAATAACTGCACTCCAGCTGGTGCTTTAGCAATCTTTTTTTTTTTTTCTTGCAGATTATGATAAATAATCAGACAAAATAAGGCAAAGGAGCAGTGTTGAAAGTAGGCTGGTCCTGGCAACAAATCATGAACTGGACACAAAGACCATTGAGCCATAAATGAATAAAGAAGGACAGAACTGCTTATTTATTAAACAATGCTCTTACTTTCAGTCCACAGTATCTTAAAACTGCCTCATTGGGACCATTACCAGAGCAAATTACTGCTCAACATGAATAAATGTGGAGAAGTCTGGGTCTCAGCTTTTAAGTGGTTTGGGTTGTGGTGGGTTTTTTTAACATTTTAATGCGTTTTAAATTGTTTTTATTATTATGCACAGCTACATCATAGGGGCAATTCTCTACAGATGAGGCTGAGCTGAGCTCTCTGTTAAAGGTCAAGGCTTGCAAGTGTTACTAATTAGGGACACAGGCACAGAGTGAGTTATGTTTCCTTAGATAAGGGAAAGGAAAGAGAACCGAGCTGTTGTTTAACATTACATGCAATCATTTTGTGCTTCTCCACGGCTAGAGTTTAAAAATATCATGTAACAGATGTCCTGGTTCTGAAGCTGCCCTACCCCATAGGTGCAGAATCACAGGAAAAAAAGGCAGGTGTGCACTAGGCTATCTCAAACTTCAGAAGAAAGCTTATCCATCACAAAGGTTTTGTCAGTCTCCCAACAAGAGGGGCTAATGTGGGATTTCTCTATCAGAATGCAGCTCAATGAATCAAATGTCAGCCTGGAGGAGGAGGTGATGCGAATGCACCGTGCCCAGGGAAAGCAGGAGGTGATATACAAAAGCTGAAAAGTCTATTTTGCGAGGTCAGAGAGGTGACAGCTGAGATCACTGAATCAGAATGATCTTTCCAGGCTGCAATTCTCATCAGGGTGAGGGATGCTCTCTTTGAAGGAAAAAAAATGTTACAACTATTACATGGTACAGCTGGTACTCAAGTGTAACTGGAAATGAGAACAAAAGTTCACTGCTGCTGGCACCAGCTTTCCTTACAATATCAGAAATACCTGTGAATATTTGAAATTTGGGAACTAATGGCCTCTGATAACCATCCACAGAGCAGTTAGATAAAGGGCAATGCCTGCTACTCCACTTGTTGCATTTTCTATGGGCTCACACTTTCGCTTTGTACCATTTTCAAGGAGATCAGCTACTAAGAAAGTAAAACAAAGCATATTAAAAAGGCAATCTTAAGAAAAACCCAACAGCTTATTAGAGAATGAAAGATAATTTTTCCCTTCCAAATCACAAGTTAACCCAGCAGGTTGAGATTCACCTCTAAGACAAACACCCACACCTCAGTTGCTATTATTGAGGTGATGAACACTATGACAATTTACAGAAGTGAATGCTGAGGTTGCACTCCTGACAGCTTTAGATTGCTTTTGTCTAAATTAATAACAACTCTGAATAAAAGGCATCAAGTCCAGCTGTACAGTCTCACACTTAACTTTTCCATTAGTGTCACTGGCCTCCCAGGGGTCTCCTCTTGTACTTCATAAGTTTATGGACAAGACATAAACGACCCTGTATGCATCAGCTGGCCTCAGTGAGCATCTCTCTCCCTCTCCTCCTCTGCTATCCATCAAAACTCTTCCCTGTGATTACACCACATGCCAGAAACACAGTCATACCTTGAGATGCTAAATGAAAGGCCTACCAGCTAATCTGGGAGTGCTTATTCATGCGGGCTCGGTGTGAAGCAGGGGCACTGCAGCTGATGAGGCCGTCACACCTGCGTGTGTGAGTGGCACAAGTGCCTCTTGCAGACAGATCCCTCCCGCTTCCCACCCGGCTTTTCCTTTTTCCTGCTCAGCAGGTAGGGAGTTTGTGAGAAATAGGGGGTGTGCATGATGAAGGCACACACAGAATGTGTGAAATAATAAACCTCTCACCTCCACTCGAGGCACAGCTCCTGTCGTGAGGCTCTGGATGCGGCGCCAAGTTCCGGCTCAAGGATTCTTCCCCAACCTGGGATGGGGACACCGAGCTGCCTGGGGAACACAGGACACACTGGAATTAAAACCACCTCTGGGAACTTCTCTTGCTGCCTGGGGAACACAGGTCACACTGGAATTCAAATCACCCCTGAGGACATCTCTTTATTCTGATGGATTGGTTTATTTTGTCACCATGATCCAATAATCAACAAGAGCTGTTGTCAAATGGGTGTTTCCTGAATATATTAAAATGCTGAATTCTACAGTTGCACTTGGGACCTTAAAGGAGTTCCAGGAAGGTCTCTGGGGAAAAAAAATGTTTTTCAAATGGGGCTGAAATTCAGGACAAACTGAACTTGGCTACTCCCAATCACAATTCTGCTAAAGGACATGAATTACCCCTTCCCAAAGCTGCCTGCTGATGTGGTTAGCAGCTTTTCTGTGGCATTCACTGTTAGCTACACCATGTGGCCTGATGGGTTTATGATGTGGACAGACAAGCCCTAAAGAGTGAAACATGCCCATGAAACTAATTCCCAGTGTGATCTCTGGCAGGATTAAAGTGAGGTCTCCAAAGGTGGAAGGGGAGTGCATCCATCACCTGCTCCTTGTAAGCCCTCCCTCAGCCACAGAGCTCACATCCAGCACAATTAATTGCCAAATCAGCTTCTGGACACAAGATAATGAAATACTATATATTGATTTGTATTTTCATTGAAAGGCAGGAAAAGAAGCCAATCAAGCTGGTTTGGTAGGGAAATTTCAAAGCATTTGTCCCATGTATAGATAATATTTTGAGGTTTTATTGACACTATAAATAAAATCTTACAGCCTGTAAATATTAGGCTTTCTCCTCTCTACAAAAGGAAAGAAATTTCAGCACAACAAAGCATGTATTACAGATGTTGAAATTATCCTCCCTGCACACTTATTCCAGATTTCAGAGTGCCTGTTCATTTTCTTTTCACTTGCAAGAGACTTAAACTAAATTGAAACAAAAGGCAATATCAATTTAAAATTAAATGCACTCCATGTTAACACAGAGTCAAAATACCTGTCTGCACTCAGGGAGGCCTTTCAGGCAGAAAAGTCCCTCAAGGAAAAGATTTGGTGAGTGACCTAAGTAAGGGTTAAAATAACTCTAAAACAAATACTGGAAATATACAAAAAAATCAGCATTATTAAAATTCTGCTTATTGAAATTCCTTTATAAAAAGAAAACTTCAGAAAAAAAAAAGCAAAACAAAAGCATATTATAAAACAGTTTAATGGTCTGTTCTCTAGTACAAATATAACTGTTTGTCAATATAATTATGCAAAGAGATCTTGGCTTTGATGGAAAAATCAGCAGTAGCAGGAAAATGCCAGAAAGGGGCAAACTCTCAGCATCAAACTCACAAAACTTTTTGCCACGCTCTTTATTCTGTTTGAAGGAATCCACAAGGACTGCAAAAGCTTATGGGAAATTTTCCCCCTTTTCCAAATGGGTTTAAGAAAAAAAAAAAATTAAATATGTTTCTCTTTTGTTCCTAAAATTTGCAATGCTTTCATCAGGCACAATTTTGCTTGATGCATTTTAGATTCACTGATTCTGCAGAAGGTGTACAAATACCCTGAAGTCTAGAGACACCTCAAGTCTCTGACTTCAATGCAAATTAAGCCTGGTTTTGAATGGGTACTGCATAAAATAGATTATCATTGCGAATATTTGGAATTTGAAACTCACTTCCCTTTTTTGTTCCACAGAATTAGCATAACATTTATTGCTCCAGTGAATATTCCCTTTATAGTCCTTAGAATATTCATGGAAATTAAATGGAAGAGAGGTACAATCAGCTTCATTGAAAATTCAAATGAATGTTTTCTATTTTTGGCAACACTCCTCACACATCATTAAAAACCAAAACAGTTATTCTGTGTGAAATGCAAATATAAATAAACAAACAAAAAAATGCCCTGGGACTCTCTTTCCCTACCATTGAAACGGTCCCTTCCTGCCACCCTCCTCATTCCCTGGTGACACAGGAGTCACATCCTTTTGGGACTTGCTGCTCCCAAGAGATTTCATTGATATAGACCTGTGCTTCCAGGAGAAGGAAAAAGGGTTGAGGGTACAAAATTATTCCATAAAACAAGGTGATACCAGAAAAAACCACTGCCTACTCCTCCCTTTATTTATTTCCTTCTCCCCTGTCAGCTGCATGTCAGGTACAATGGGCAGGTGCCTAAAAATGGCAAAAAGAAATTTTAAAAACAGATTTTATGACGGGGCGATCCTCTCGGAAAGGAAAGTTGCAAAATAAGTGGTTGTATAAGGCCACTCAACTGCTTTGTAATTTAATTATTTTCCAACTTCTGCTACTTAAAAACTGACTTCAGACACCACTTTCCACAGTAATATCAAAACTCTTTTCACATTAGGACCTGAAATCCCTGCTACCATAAACAGACTGAACCCAATAATGAGCTCCAAGGAAGTGGCACATTGGGGTTCCACCTATAAGGGATGGGAAAAATTATGCAGCACCTTATCCTGGCCAAAATCAGGTAGGAAAGAGCTGGCAACAAGATCACCAGTTCAGCCCGTGGGACACACACAAGCTGCTGAGTACTGAAAATCAACTCCCCGTGCCCAGAGTGAGAGGAGCTCATGGCTGGGGACACCTGGGTGGGTCATGGTGTGGGGCAGGGAGCTGCTCCCCTAAACCATCAGGGCATTGCCCACAGACAAATCACCCCCCTCTATCTGCAGGCCCACCATTTCTAACCTCAGTGTACACGAATCACCTTAATTACTTCTGCCTGAATATTTATTTTGGCTTAAAATATGAAATATTAGGAGAATACCTCACACAATGTGGTTTTTACAAAGCAGCTCAGTGGAGGCCACTCTGTCAAACCAGTAGCCATGAAAGGCTGCCAGAGATCCATCTGAAATGTCAATACATCATTTCAAATATTCTCACTCAGAGCTGCTTCCTGAAGCATCCAGGGGCAGTAAAATCAAAGGGAATGCTCTCCCTTTTTTCAGGGAAAAAAAAAATAAATAAAATTGAGTGAAACTTCAAAAGCCAGTGAAGAGGGAGACAGTGTGTGTTTCAGACGAGTTAAGTGAGGAATCCGGGACAGAGGGATAGGCCTGTCATGCAGGAAATCCAGCATTTCAACTCAGAGCTAGAAATTAGAAATGAGCTAGAGGCCAAATTGGTTCTCTATGCACAGTGCCCACCTGAGAGAAGAGCACCCAAAAAGCACAACACTGGCAAAGGCAGCCTCATACTCCTCTGCTGAGGGATTATCTACAGAGCTTTGCCTTTGGGTCTCATCCAAGTATTAATTGTGAGGGAAAAGGACAGCCCAGTCAGGATCTGCAGCTAATGCTGGCCTAGAAACCAGATTAAAAGCAAATAAAATTCAGTGCTTGGGGGCAGATTTCTTCAGGCATCTCTCCTGGCCCAGGCAGAGAGCAAAGACCTTGTCTTGCATTTCCACCCTACCATGGTGGGATGGAAATTACTGAAGGACCCAGGGACTGGCATGGGAGGAGCACCATAATTCTGAGATATTCCCCTCATGCTCCCTTCCACTCTTCCAAGAGAGCCCCTCTTTTTCAGGCCTGTTTCATTTTCTGTTCCCTAAAAAGCCAGTCAGGATCTCAGCTGGGATGCAGGGGCTGAGTCGCTTTGGGCTCTCTCTCTCTCTTTGAAAAACACCAGGGCTGTTGTGATGCCAAACCTACAGAGACAGGAAATCTGTACCCTTCAACCAAGCCAGCCAGCTTCACTTAAAAGAGAGAAAGCCCCTGGGAAATAGAAAATCCTGCATAGAATAAATATCCAGAAAATCAAACAAAAGTTCCCTTTGGAAATTTTTTTCCACTGGTTTCTATGTACTGCCACAAAGCCTGATACCACTGAAATTCATGGGGTATTTGGGAAGGATGCAAAAATGAGCATAGAGGAACCAAACACCATGCAAAGTCTCTGTTTCTGGTAAGACTGCTCTGAGTTTATATTGCCTGACATTTTTATCTGCGTAGGAAATTATCTATATCTTTAATGTGAGATTAATGGAGTTGAGCGCTTCTGAATCATTGGCAATTGCTACTGTGCTGCATAGATATTTTTGTACTGAAATAATATTAAATCAACAATAAGGCCTCCATTTGGCATAAATTTCACAAGCACTTCTCAAAAAAAAAGAAGGAAACACTTCATAGAATTAAATAAAAGTTCAACAGTTTTAAAAAATAGTATTTGAGGAGTGGGGGAGAGAAAAAATTATTTCTATTGAATATATGTCTCCATGTGCTGAGTATGTATTCTTTGATGTTATTGAATGCTTATAATCTAGGAATAATATGACTTCTTTTAAACTTCATCCAACAGTCTTAAGTACAAAAATACTTTTGTTCCTGCTTGTTCTTTTTGTCATTTTTACTCATCATAAGCATATCTATTATCCCACACTATTAAAAGTTTCTAATACTTTTTTCTTTTGAGTAGAGAGACTACCAGAAAATATAACAAACTTTTAAAATGTGAACTTTTTCACTTATTACTGACCATTTCTGAAAACTTTAATCATATTTCCATTACTCAAAAGGAAAAAAAAAACCAAAACCTTTTTATCAAATTCAATATTCTCTTAAAATAATACCTCCAAACACTACTCAAAACCTTTAACTTTTTGTTCCATTTTCATAAGGTTTGAGGTAAAAATTCCCAGAGATGAGTGGTACCTCGAGGTAAGAAGACAATGGCCATGGAGCACACAGTGACTGAAAGGCAGATGAATATCTCAAGGCTTTTGTCACAGCTTTATTTGCTGCTTTCATCCTCAGCCTTCTTTCCCAAAGTTCCTCCATTGCAAAAAGTGAGAAAATTAAAAGGATGGTCCATTCTAAATGATTTTCCTTTGTAGTGCTTTTTATGGGCTGAAGACTCATCCTGAAGCTGTTCCTACCCCTGCAAATGCAGGAATAAATGTAAACTGCTGGAATGGGAATATTGCAACGATTTCAATACAGTGCAACACCACCACTGCACTGACAC